GGTGGATTCGATCAAGGAGAGAGTTGACGGGACAGCACGGTTGGGAATAGATTAATTTACGCCATTATTGGATTTAGAGGGGTTGGAGACCAACAGAACTTTAAGACAGAGAGGAAATTATCTCTGTCTGGCCCCAAAACAAGTTCTTATCTGAATCTGGTGCCCTTGAGCCTGTGAGGCTGAAGTGATTACTCCCCCTCAGAAGAAATGTGGAATGCTGCTGTCACCATGGCAACTCTGTCTCCCTATCCCAGTCCGAGCGGGACTGTGACTGGTGAAGGCCGTGGAACCGTTTCCAGGAGTCACTGTGCTTTCTAACCCAATTACCTCCCTCCCATTTCCAAACGGAGGTGATGAGCACTGCTCACTGCGGCTGCATAAACTAATGTGAGGACAGTCCCCAACCCTGCCTCCCCACCTAGTCGACACTTATGTTGTGTAATGTCTGAAGTCTGTTGCATTTCTGTCTGAGCTGTTTTTTGCAGAGCAAAGCTGCCCTCCCTGTGGAGGGTAACTCTGAAGTGCCTTTTTTTCCTCCAAGTGACTCAGTCCTCATATAAACCCTCTGATCTCTATTATGGTAGCACGACTCGGGTTGCGAATGACCACAGTCACCAATTGTTGTCATGTGTCTATGCCTATGTATGTATGTCTGATCTCAGAATTGTGTGTACTGGAACTCTAATTTCCCTCTGGGATTAATAAAGTATTTTTGAATTGAATTGAATTGAATTGAATTGAAACAGCTGCCTCAGGTTACTGGGCCCAGAACTGCTACAGTGCATGGATTGTTTAGTACAGGGTCGCCTTGAAATAATAAGAACTACTTTTAATAAGTCTGTCTTTATTTTTATGCGCATTTTGTAATTTTAATTGATTTAACCTAAATCACTGCAAGCAAGCAGTATTTTTGTGTTGGAGTAAGACCTTACCAATCGATGGCCATTAGGGTCAAAAATCCCAGAGAGCACAACCGTCACCAAAAGACGAGCACATCAGGCTCCCTTTCATCACTGACAACGAATGAAGAGGTAAATGTGTAAAACTACATTCATGAATGGGGAATGTTTTATAACCGTTTGTTACAAACCAGTAAATGCATTTTGTCCTCACAGGCCCCTGTAGAAGGAAACATGGCATGGTGTCACTCAGTGACCCAGGCCCAATCTCAATACTCGCAATACATCTATGAAGTGCTCTTGGAGGAAGTGCTCAGTAAGGCTTTGAGTGTGCGGTACACAAGTGTGCAAATAATTGCCGAATTAAGACAGGGAGCATTGTGTCATCGACTGCAACGCATGCCGGGATGCCGGTCACTCCATTAAAAAAAAAACTTTATTAACTACTTTCAAATAAACAATCAAACGATTGTTTGAAATAAATTTACATTCAGAGCTGTTTTGTCTAAAACATTCAGAGAATAAATTAATCATCATATAATGAACAACTTTAATTTGAAAATACATATTTTCTGTAAAGGAACTTGAGCCTTTTCTCCTGCAACAATGTATCGTGGGTAATAACCTTCAAACAAGTCCACACCGATGCAGACTTGTGTGAAGTGTACATAGAGGATGCAAAAGGGTGAGGACTGGGACACTCTACGCACTTGTACCCTTGGCCAGGATCATGCAATTTTGGAAGTGTGAGTATTGGGATTGGGCCTTTTCGGATTCCAGAAAACACAGGATCAGATGGTATTTCCTTGTGCAAGAGCATACTTGCATACCTGCATCTGCACTGTTTCTGGCCCATGATTCCTAGGTCCCTTAATAGTTTTGTGGTAGATGTTCCCACATACCCTCTGCAACCGACCTCCACTGGGCGGACCTCCACATTCCAGCCACGATGTTTTGCTTCGACGGCTAGGTCAGCATACTGCAGACGCTTCCGCTCAAAGGCCTCCTCCATGGAATCCTCCCAGGGTACGGTGAGTTTGATTATGTAAACCTTCTTTATGGAGGAGGACCATAGCACCAGGTCAGGCCTAACGGTTGTGGTAGCTATCTCTGAGGGAAACACCAGTTGTTTGCCAATGTCTGCCAGCATCTTCCAGTCACGTGCTAGGCACAGCTGGCTTCTCTCTGATGATTTAAAGCTGCTCTTAGTGGCTGCTGTGCCTTCACGGATGAAGGCAGTTGCCCATGGTGGTGTTGAGATGTTAGGTACTGAAAGGGCGTTGATGCTGGATCATTTTTCCTCCAGTGTAGCAGCAAGGCATTTCAAAACTTGGTTGTGCCGCCAAGTGTATCGTCCTTGGGTAAGGCTGGTTTTACACCCAGTGAGTATGTGCCGGAGGGAGGCTGGCTTGGAACACAGGATGCACCCACGATCTTCACCAAACCACTGGTGGAGATTAGTTGGTGTTGGTAGGACATCATATGTGGCTCTGATGGAAAAGCTCAAGTTCCTAGCTTCCATGGCCCATACATCCCTCCAGCACAATCTCCTCCTTTCGACACTTTCCCACCGTGTCCACTGTCCCTGTTTGCCAAGGGCGACTGCCTTGGCCCACCTTGCAGATTCCTCCTGACGTCGCACCTCATCCACCACCATTTTCCATTGCTGGAGCAGTAGCAGTTCTCCAGGCTGGGCGGCTGGTTTTTAGTCTAAGCCCTCCCCTTCCTAGGTTAACATTCCCCACTATGTCAGCATGTCTAAGAGCTGTCGTTGCCTCCTCTACTGTTCTTGCTGGTCTCCACTTGCGCCCGGTAACCAGGTTTGACACATTTTCTCTGATCACTGGATCTGTGGTATTGTTCAAGGTCATCTGCAACCGTGCTTTGGCACACTTGAACTCTTCCGTAAGGCTGGTAAGTGGCAGTTTGAGGACACTGTCTCCGTAGAGGTTTGTGGTGGTGAAGCAACGTGGAACTCCCAGCCATTTCTTGATGTAAGCTGTGACTCTTCTCTCCAGCTTCTCTACTGTTGTGATGGGCACCTCATAGAGTGCCAAGGGCCGCAGCACTCGGGTAGAAGGCCGAAATGGAAGAACCAGGTCTTGAGTTTCCCATGTAGTTGGATTTTGCCAATTGCCTGTAGGCCTGCATTGATGTCATTGCTTCACATGTTGTTTATCTTTCAGGCTTCCATCATAGAACCTCCCAAGACTTTTGACTGGCTGCTCGGATACAGTAGGAATTGGGTCATCACCGATGAAGAACTGCAAGTCAGTAAGCACTCCCTTCACCACTGAGATGCTGCGTGACTTAGACGGTTTAATCTTCGTACGGGCCCACGTGATGTTCTCCTCCAATTTACCGAGTAACCTCCTGGTGCATGGAACGGTGGTAGTCAAGGTGGTAATGTCATCCACATAGGCTCTGAGGGGAGGAAGACACCGGCAGGAGCTGATTCTTTGTCCACCTACGACCCACTTTGAGGCTCGGATGATTATCTCCCTTGCCATGGTGAAAGTCAGGGGAGAAACAGTACATCCGGCCATAATGCCTACTTCCAGACACTGCCAAGAGGTGGTAAACTCAGGCGTAGAAAAGCAAAATTGCAGGTCCTGAAAGTAGTTTTTGACAAGGGTTGTGATGGTGTCCGGGATGTTAAAAAACCTAAAAGTAGTCCAGAGAAGCTCATGGGGTACAGAGCCGAAGGCATTTGCAAGGTCTCATGGAGGTCTCTTTTCTCTGTCTTTGCCATTTGGATCTGGTGCCAGATCATGCTAGCATGTTCTAGGCAACCAGAAAAGCCAGATATTCCTTTAGCCCACTCCCATCTATTTTAGACCCGATTTCTATGGTTGTTTGTTATGAAGCTGACTATCCTTTTCAACAACACAATTTAATTCATTTTAAACAACACTTCAATTAATATTTCCAGAGATTAACAGTTAAAAACGACACATTGTCTCTTTAATATCAATACAGTGTGTAATAATAATTATGAAAACAATCATTAAAAATATAGTAACAATATTATATTTATAGCCTTTTTTTCTCATGAGTAAAATGTTTGTTCTGTCAGCTTTCAAGGCTTGTTATTGTATTATTCTAGACTAAACCAGCAGACAGATAAAGCTAAAAAAAAACAATAATATGAAAAACAGGAAACCAAGTCAGACATAGTTTAATGCAGTTTGATAAATAGATTATGATATGTGGTGTCCTCATAAGCTTTATAAAATTCTCCAGAATTCCTGGACCAAGATGACTGAAGAAGATGCAAGATGAAAAAGAATCCTGTTTTTGTTTTAGGATACATGCGGCCTGAATAATATCAACTATATTGAATTTAGATATCTGCTATGAAGGAGCTTTTAGGAAGAACTTTGTTGTAGCAGAACCTGGAAATCACAGGCATATGGATGCAAGCAGGTGATTAAAAATACAAAACTGGAAAACTAATGAAAAAATAAAATTATTTCTTCTTAGAGAACTATTGATAGACTTCATATTGGTTACAAGACAGCACTGAAATGAAAGCAGCAGTGAGGAAATCTGGGTCCAATCTACAAAGAAAGCTTTTTTTTCTTCACTACAGGAAGCAAAACAGTTGGTGAACTGGAGAGATCGCTCAGATGATGAAACAAAAGCACAGCCTGACTAGATTAAAATAAAAAAAGGTGATTAGGTGAGTGAGCAGACAGGTAAAGGGTGAAGCCAATCTGTGGGAGGTGTGCCTGGTTGCAGAAACTGGGATCTCCCTGGCAGTCCTAGAAATGGTGCCGCAGGCACTATGAGACATGCAAAGTAGTCGGATTAAAGAGATGAAATATGTAACGTGTCCTTCTCAGTGTGCAACAGCCAAGCTTTACATTATGTTGAGTTTTTCTTTTTAAGATAATCCACTAAATGTTCTTACAGGTCACAGTCTGTTTCATTTCCTGTAGCTTCCCAGAGCCCTGCGGGGAAGACGTCCAGCTCCCTGACGTCAACAGTCTGCAGAGATCTGTACATAACCTTTTAGTCCTCAGTGTTTTTCACTGGGTCAAAGTTCAAATGTCTCTCTAGGACGTTTATCACAGGAGAGACTGGATCATTGCAAAGAAGTAAGATTGATAGTGGGGGAGGGGAGGGGGAAGGAGAGTTTGGCCATTTCCAGGAAAGCTGTACAATAAATGGCAGATGGGTAAAGCGGACAGAGTATTAAAAGGACCTGGGCCAGACTGAGAGAACCAGCTTCCACAAACCCAGATTCAATAAACCAGGATCTATACTAAACCAGGAGCTCGTCACACCCACAACGTCTGCCTGCTGCCAGAGAAATCACCATGACTCCACTGCTCAGCTTCTGGATGTGTCTGGTTGCTTTCTCACTGAGGGCCACCCCGAGCCATGGTTTAAGGAGGTATAACACGTATTTTATCATGCTATTAGAAAAACAATAGAACAGAAGTCACAGTTTGAGAGCGTTCCAACAAGAGACACCATGCTGAAATTTTTTTCTTTTCATGTACAGCTAAATAAATAACGACAAGAAAACAACCATGTTCTATTGGTTCATTACAAAAGCTGGTGATTTCCGCAGTGGCCGAGCATGGTTCTGTTAATTTTTCTGACTTGGAGCTGGAAGAAAAAGCACGTCTGTATTGTCATACTGGGACCATGACCAGGAACATGTGTCAGATGCATGAAATATTTACTTCACAGAACCATCACATCTGTTGTTTATGTTTATCTTTTCTTGTTGAGTATCTGAATTTCCTCCTTTTTGCTTGTGTTATATTTGCAGAATCGCCCTGAAGAAGATGCCATCCATCAGAGAGACGCTGCAGGAGATGGGGGTTTCTGCAGAGCAGGTGTTGTCTGAACTGGCCCAGATGAGCTCTGCTGAGACCAACAACGGAACCGTTCCCACACCTCTGACCAACTACTTGGATGTGAGTCACTATTATGTAATATTATGTATTTTCTATAATATACACACACATGTTTGAAGCCGCCCACCTTGTTGTTCTGTGAGAGGTTCTCCAGGTGAGAATAAATCAAGATATGTTTAACTGAAGGCATCTGGCTTTACTCTTTAGATGAAACCAGACTAGTTTTAGGGTTAAAGGGCCCCACACTTCTAAGAACCTTTATGTTGCTCTTGGAGGGAAGTTGAACAGATCCATTAGACTTTGTGGGAACCTTTTGCCTGGCTTCACATTTTAAATGTCATATTTTATTTCCTATTACTATATTTGTGGAGTTTGCACACAAGGAAGTGAATGAAAGTTATTCTAAAAAGATACAAAGAGCATCAAAACCACAATGCTGTTTCTTTTGAACAGACCCAGTACTTCGGTGAGATCAGCATCGGCTCTCCAGCCCAGATGTTCAACGTGGTGTTTGACACCGGTTCTGCCAACTTGTGGGTGCCGTCTCAGAGCTGCTCACCTTTCTCCACAGCCTGTTGTAAGTGTCAGTACGGATAGCATTTGACAATCTATAACACGGTATTAAAATACTGGACAAAGAGAAGAAATCAAAGGAAATTATTTGGGAGTGATGAGCTGAATGACTCATACAATAGATGACAATAGATACTTGTGGAAAGCTCTGGGTTGGATCCCTCTCACTGTTGTTTTAGACACAAAGCTGAGGCAGACAGTTTGTGTGAAAACACTTAATACCATTTTTTGGGCTAAAAACTGTTCTATGAATTCTTCAGACACCCACAACAGGTACGATGCATCCAAATCCCACACTTATGTTGAGAACGGCACCGGATTTTCCATCCAATACGCCTCTGGAAATGTCAGGGGATTCCTGAGTGAGGATGTGGTTGTGGTGAGTTCAAAAGTCAGGACGCTGTAAATCAGAATTATCCCTTTCTATGACATACGCCTGCACTCACTATGGCATGTCACTCCTTTTAACTTCAGCTTGTTTGATCCCTGCAGGTTGGTGGCATCCCTGTGGTGCAGGTATTTGCAGAAGCCACCTCTCTGTCGGCCATGCCCTTCATTTTTGCCAAGTTTGATGGCGTCCTGGGGATGGGTTACCCGAACGTGGCCATTGATGGGATCACTCCGGTGTTTGACCGCATTATGTCTCAGCATGTCCTCAAAGAAGAGGTGTTTTCTGTCTACTACAGCAGGTATGGTTAATGGATCCACTTGGCAACACTTCTGGGTTATGCATGTTCAGAAAGTGCATTGAGTAAAATACACTAAATCATGTGTATGTAAAAAAAATCTTTATTAACAGCTTTCAAACAAACAATTGACAAAATTTACATTTGTTGCTGTCCACATCTTAGTGTAAAACATTCAGAGCATGAATAAATATTTATCGTCTTAAAATTAACTTCTTTCCTCAAAATTCCCACGCAGCACTAGATTGTGGGTAATATCCTTCACCCAAGTCTGCATCGATGTGCAAGGGTGGAAGTGCAACTATTGGGATTGGGCCAATGTCTCTAGGTGACACCATATTAGATCAACGGGAGCCTGTGAGGACAAAACGCATATACTAATTTGTAGCAAATAGTTACAAACCTTTTAACATTCATAAACATTTTACACATTTACTTCTTCACCTGTTGCCAATGATCAAAGGGAGTCTGATGTGCTTGTCAGTTTGCTGGAGCTCCCAGGGATTTTGACCCTAATGGTCCTCCGTTTGTAAGGTCTTACTCAAACACAAAAATGCTGCTTGCTTGTTATGATTTAGGTATGTACTGCCCCCTATCGCCAGGAAAAATGCACACCGTCACTTTAACATGAGCTTCCTCTCTAATGGTAAAACAGCAGAATAATATCCCAAATTACAATCTGTATCTAGAATTAGACACAAATCTAAATCAAAAGCACAAATGACAGGGACAATGCTCTTTAGTGAGAATACCAACATGTCTATATCTTTACATTAACTTACTAACACTACCTTAACCCTACTTTTGTACCCCTAATATTAACCCATTTTTTTAAAAGCATAGTAGTGGACCTTTAAATAATAAGCAGTCACAAATTAAACCATTTACTCAGAGATATTTTCAGCAAACATAAATCACCAAACTTGCACTTTCAACAGTGATGAGGAGAGAATGAATGGCAAACGTCTGACAGCAGCGACACAGAGTTGAAAACACTGACACATTATGAGGGATGAGGGTTGGAGCCTCTGGCCACAGAGCTGTTAGAGCAAAAGACAGCACAGATGTGTTTTGAAGTCTCTTTAGAGATGGTTTATATGTCTTTTGCACAGGTTTTGTTCATTTAGTTTTGGTCGGGTTAATCACTTCATGATCAAATGTTTTATTTTGTGGCGAGCTGTGTTCTCTTTGTAGTCCTTTGTGTGTTTTTGTGGTAGTTTTCTGGGTTGTTTTTGTAATGACGCTGTCACGTTGTGTAGAATTTTGACCATTCACAGACTATTTCTGATAATTACAGTTATATCTGTGTAATTTCTTGTTATCTTGTGTGCTCTGTTATTGTGCAGCTTTTCATAGAACGTTTGCAGCAACTTTGAACAGAAGCCCAGTGACGTTCTGAACCCTTGGACCTGGTGGCCTGGACCCAAGAGGCCCACTCATTAATCTCTTCATGTTTGTTCCATATTTCTCAGAGACCCAAAACACTCCCCCGGCGGAGAGCTGGTTCTCGGGGGCACTGACCCAAACTACTACACCGGACACTTTAACTATGTAGACACCAGAGAAATAGGAAAATGGGATGTATCAATGAAAGGGTGAGCTACATTGTTTCAGTGTTTTAGGTCAAAATGAGGCTACGCATTTACTGTTGAAGCTTTTATTCTTTCAGCGTCTCTGTTGGGACGGAGCATATGTTTTGCGCAGAGGGCTGCACGGCTGTCATTGACACGGGCTCCTCCTACATCACAGGTCCCGCCTCTTCCGTGTCAGCACTGATGAAAGCCTTTGGAGCTCAGTTGGATGAAAGTGGAGTAAGTCCTAAAAACACACGATAACACATGAATTCACATTAAAAGGTCTGTTAAAACTAATCCTCAGCTGTATGCCTCTCATGTTGTTCACCAGTACAAAGTCAGCTGTGACAAAGTGAAGACGTTGCCAAGTGTCACTTTTCACCTGGGAAGTCAGGAGTACTCACTTACTTATGAGGATTATATCTTATGGGTAAGCAAAGGCTCACTATATTTAGTGTAATCATACTCACATTTAAATTAATTAGGAGTTAAGTATGCTTAAACTGCAGCATGTGCCTTTTAGTTAGCTTGTATTAATAATACTGTTGCAGCAGACACAGATTGAGGGGGACGTCTGCATCGTCACCTTCAGGGGTTTGGACATTCCACCTCCTGCTGGGCCCATCTGGATCCTAGGAGCCAACTTCATCGCCCGGTACTACACTGAGTTTGATCGTCGCAACAATCGTATCGGGTTCGCTACAGCGGTCTGACAGGAAGTTCAACTTTAATCACTTTCTGCTATGTCAGTGCTTTAATGTCTCTTGCTGCTATGTCCCAGTAGATTCCTGTCTCTTTTTAGCCGAGCGGAATTCTTGGTGAATTTAAAAAAAAATAATTCATGATTTAAAAAGCTTTTTGTTTACTCCAGCAACAAAAAGAAAAGTTTGTATAATGTCTCATACTTTTCTCTTTCTTTTTTCTGACTTGGTTTGTACTGATCACAGCAAACACCTTGTTCTTTATACATGTTTTTTTAAGCCAGTCAATTCTTTCTGCTTGTCGCTCTGCTTGATGTTAGAAATAAAGTCTGCCTTGGTTCAGCGTAATGATAATAAAATGTTTCGTTTGAAATTTTATTTTTATTTAATTTGGATTCCAGTATCGACCTCATTGTTTTAATCTTAACCTGGTTTTGTGACCAAGATGTGAAAGCTAATCTAGAAGCTCGAAACAGATGCTGCAGTGGACTGCATCCACGTCACATGACCCAATCTCTTCAAATAAAGCGTGCCACATGCTTTCTTTCTGTCATGTTAACTTGGCCGCTTTTTAAAACTGGTTTGGAGCTTCGTGACAAAAAGCATTAAGTGGAATTTCTCATTTGGAAGCAAAAGCGTTTTGAATTTAACTGAAAAAAAAAGTGATGTGGATAATAAATGTGAGTCAAATCAAACTGGCTCACCTAAACAATAATCTTCCCCTCACCAAGAGGACAAGGGCCATACCAAGACAATAAAATAGCAAAAATAAACCCAAATCTATCAGGTGCTGCTGTCAGATGTTTTGGCCTCTTTTCCCTGAAATGACCAGGAAGTCCACTCATCCTACTCAAAAGTGACAATGGGACATGTCACGCTTTCTTTGGGCTTGCATCCATGAATTGTCTGTTCGGGACTTTATCTGTTGGAAGGGTGCAGCTATCTGAGCGAGCACGCTGGCATCTAATCAGAAGTCCAACCGCTGCAGAAACACGTCTCAGTATGAGTCAACCAAACTTTTCAGTCTGGAAACCTGCCAGAAAAAAGAAATAAAGAAAACATTCACACAAACATAGCAGACAGATATTACAGGAGACACAGCTGAATAATCTGTGTTATTTCTGGCAGAGTTATCATAATAGTCTGAAAATGAGATTATGCACCCCACTATAAAACACACAAAGCCTGCTGTAGCTCTTCAAACAAAAGCATGGTTGTTTCACACTTGCACATTTTTCCCAGGTAACTTCTGGAGGTTGAAACTGGAGCATATTTGAGTTGGTGAGATAGCACAACAAAAATAAATAAAACCTCGGTGTTCATGTTCAAACTAAAACATTCATAACCTTATTTCCACTCAATAAAGCTTGGGATTGTGTCATCAACGACTACACTTAGCAACTGACCTCTGGCATAAGCAAGATATATGAACAAATATGAAAAGTTTGTGAACAAACATCTGAACAATAAGAAAAAAGTTGGGCAGAACCAACAAAAATTATAACTGAAATCTAAACAAAAACAAAACCATACACGGATGGTACCTTCACGTAAAACCAAGGAACAGGTTTGATAATGCAGGACCATACACAATCATCATGTATTTTTCACAAGGCTGGAAATGCTTGCAGGAAACAGCCCCATGCCTCTTCAAAAAAGCCAGGAGTGAACATCTCTTTTCTAGCTTTAGAGAGGACTTGAAATCCTGCAGCCACTGTGTGTGTGAGAGGAGCGGTACCTTTTCATTTGAGTAAAATAACATGGCAGTCCAGAAGCAGGGCAAATGATAAAGAATGTTTTTGGAAGCATTAAGGTTTTGTTGATTTTCAAGGACCCCAAGAAGAGCCACAGTGGGATTTGGTTCGAGTCTTTCTCGACTCATCTGGGGGTAGAGAGGAGGGGTGCACAGAGTAGTTTCGGCTTGGTAAACAACAATTGACACAGTTTATAAGCTTGACTCATTTTCAAGTCAGAATTGACAAAGCTCCTCGGATGAGAAGTGAAATGTCTTCAAGAAACCAAAGAAGTCCAATTGCCTTCATTTGAACCCTTTTGGATTACCATAATATGGATGACTGAGAACCTTCACCATCATAAGGAATTCTGTTGGGATTAAAATGTAAATGGGCTGTATTTGTATCTACAACCCCCCAAGGCATACCACAATCAGTCATCCACCCATTCACATGCTGCTGGTGATGAGCTACAATGCAGCCACAGTTACCCTGGGGTGCACTGACAGAGGTGAGACTGCTGAGCACTCGCACCACCGATCCCTCCAACCACCACCGGCAGGTAAGCGTTTAAATGTCTTGCTCAAGGACACAACATCTGCATTCTCTGGGGGGAGCTGGGATTCTTCTTCCGACTCTTGAGCCCCCTTCAGACAGGCCATGAAAAACGGAAATGTTCCGGACTCTGTCCATAAGACCTTTGTGTCTGAATACAAACATCCGGATAACGTGTTCCGGAATTTATCCGGACGAAGCCCCTAGTAACAGGTCCGGACTTGTTACGGACAGGGTGGCTGATTCAGACTGGTGAGGTAAAGTTCCGGACAAGGGGGAGGGGGAGGAGGAGGGGACCGGGGGACGCTGTGCGCACCTAGATAGCCCGCTGCTGTAGCATGCGGCGAACCATGGCAGCTCGCCTCCTACGGTACCGCCTAGACGCGCGACGGAGCGCTTCACACCGCTTCACACCGCTTCAGTGATTCCTTTAAAAATTGAGCTTCATCATCCAGGTCTCTTATGCGTCGTCGTGTGCGCAGAATTATGCTTAAGCGCCTCGTGATTTTTATCTTGAGAGGCGCTATAGAAATGATATTTTCTTCTTCTTCTTCTCCCCCCCCCCCCCCCCCCCCCACCCCACCCCCCCACCCCCCCGCCGCCGTCAGACATCTGGAACTTTTCCCTGCCGAAAGGACAAGTTCCGGTACAAAAGTGGTGTGTCTGAAAACACAGTTCCGGTTGAAAACCGGATTGAATTGTCCACAAATGTTCCAGAATGTCTATCTGAAAAGGGCTCTGGAGAGTACAGACACTTTTTTCTTCCTCTCCTCCCTATCTTACCCCAAGGCTCTTTGTCTCTCTTTGGGTGTACGGCACTTCTGCATTTTTTTCTGGAAACTGGAAATTATTAAAAATGGACCTGGTCAGTTGGTCTCTCAACGCGATTAACAAAATTTTTCCAACAACGAGAGTGGGAGAAGGGGCTCCCGGATGCCCCTCTGGGACAGAGCCAGCTGGGTATATCATGGACTCCTGGAAACAGTGGAACCTGGTCTGCCTCTCTCATCTGTCTGTAGAGGATTCTGAAGACGTCTGGATATTCGTGGTGTTGGTGTCAGGTTTCTTGCTGTTTGGCCTGAGCGGTTACCTTGCTTACCGAAAAACTAATGAGCTGTAGAGGAATATTGGCTCAATCCCGGAGCTCAGGGATGGATTACACCGGACTGTGAACGCACAAACTCATATAATTGTCGAGATGAGTCGCAAGCTTGGGACTTTGGCTGAGATTCAGACTCTGGCACAGAAGGTGGATCTGATCAAGGAGAAAGTTTAAGGATCAGCACAGATTGGCATAGATTAATTATGCCATTATTGGATTTAGAGGGGTTGAGGACCAACAGAACTTTAAGACAGAGAGGAAGTTATCGCTGTCTGGCCCCAAAACAAGTTCTTATCTGAATCTGGTGCCCTTGAGCCTGTGAGGCTGAAGTGATTACTCCCCCTCAGAAGAAATGTGGAATGCTGTCATCGCCATGGCAACTCTGTCTCCCTATCCCAGCCTTGGCTGGACTGCGACCGGTGTAGACCATTGAATCATTTCCAGGAGTCACTGTGCTTTCTAAACCCAAATACCTCCCTCCCCTGTCCAAACGGGGGTGACGAGTACTGCTTATCGCAGCTGCATGCACTGATGTGTGGGGAGTCCCCAACCCTACCTCCCCACCTAGTGGACACTTATGTTGTGTAATGTCTGAAGTCTGTTGCATTTCTGTCTGAGGTGTATTTTGCATAGCAAAGCTGCCCTCCCTGTGGCGGGTAACTCTGAAGTGTCTTTTTTTTCCTCCACTTGACTCAATCCTCATATATAAACCCTCTGATCTCTATTAAGGTAGCGCGACTCGGGTTTCAAATGGCCACAGTCACCAATTCTTGTCATGTGTCTATGCCTATGTATGTATGTCTGATCTCAGAATTGTGTGTACTGAAACTCTAATTTCCCTCTGGGATTTATAAAGTATCTTTGAATTGAATTGACTTGAATCAAATCTACAACCTTTCGATTTCTGGACAACCCACTCCAACTCCTGAGCTACTGTTACTCTAAGAAAAAGGTCATCAGCATAAAGGGAACCCCTGTGTTCTGCCCATCCTCTCAGGACCCCAGTTAGCCCATTGCATGAATGACGAGCAATGGCAAGGGGTTCTATGGCTAGATCAAACAGTGTGGGACTAAAGTTATTGGGACATCAGGACAGACACATGCACGCAACGCCATTATCCGTCCTTTTGAAGGCTCTTCAGGAGGCTTGCAAGGACAGATGGAGTCGAGCTCTGTTTTCTAAACATCCGCCCAACTAGACAGAAAATGGAAGCTTGTGATTGGTCAGGGTGCCGCTTTTGTAAACAGCTCTGCCATTGTGCTGTAGAGTTAAATCTGCATACTGAAATCACCTCTGTGCTATTCAGTGGAGATTCCAAAAAATGACCAATCAGATTAACCTATGAGGCTTAGATCATATATAAATATCCCGGATACTTATATATCGCTCTAAGTTCATACATCAACCTATTTGATCTAATTTTAAATCCAAAGATTAATGTTTAATTTAGATAATTAAATTTAATAGCAAAGTTATTTTAAATCAGAAGCTAGGATCTTTGCTTTCAAATAACCAGAAATATTATACCTTTTCTGTGTTCCGTTTCAATACGGAGGCAAGTTTAAAAATGAAGAAATTTCATTACTAACAATTTTAAGCTTAGAGATTTGAGACGACAATTATAAAATGACAATTCATGGAAGGCAATTTAAATGACAATTTTCAACAGCTTTGATATTAAACTTGTTTTAAAAGCAAACCTGTGTCTGAATGGAAGATTAATGGAAAATACGAGTTTGGATGCGTGGATGAAGTTATGAGAAGGTTTCTTTCCCACAGAGTTGGAAGCATTCTGGATGAAGATGATGTTTTGAGGCTAACTGAGTTATTTAGAGAAAAAACCACATCAAACGCATTCTTGTGTGCTACCTCACCCAAACAGGACCCTCTTGTGGATCCGGAGATCAGGAGGATATGGTTCCTCCAAGATGACACAGTCTGGTAGAGGAGACGCAAGTGT